TCTGGCTGTACCTCTTCCAACACAGATCTATTTGTTCAATATTCTCCTCCAACATCATGATCCAAACGCATCGATTCTTCTCCAGATTTCCTTATTCATTTTCCAATTTTTGTACGCATATGAAGTGATTGAAAATACTATGGTTTGGATCAGATGCACCTTAGTCCTCAAACTGACATCTTTGCTGTTGTTGTGTGTCATCGAGTAAGTCCCAATTATAGTGACCCTGTATAGGGTTTCTGAGGCTGTAAATCTCTACAGGAGCAGAAAGCCTCACCTTTCTCCCATGGAGCAGCTAGTGTATTTAAACCACCGACTCTAGTTAACAGTCCAATGTGTAATGCACCACACTAGGGCACTTTTACACTTTAAAGAGATCTTTTCCAATGGATTTGCTTAATTAATTTTTTTTTTTTAATTTCTTCACTGCTGCTTCCATGAGTGTTGATTGTGGATCCAAGTAGATGAAGTATTTGGCAACTTCAATACTGTCTCCACTTTATCATGTTACTTATTGGTCCTGTTGTGAGGATTTTTGCTTTCTTTACATTGAAGTACAATCAATATTGAAGGCTGTAGTCTTTGACCTTCATCAGTATTTCAAGTCCTCTTCACTTCCATCAAGCAAGGTTGTGTCATATGCATATCACAGGTTGTTAATGAGTCTTCCTCCAATCCTGATACCACTTTCTTCATATTACTCAGCTTCTCCGGTTATTTGCTCACTATACACATTGAATAAATCTCAATAGTAGCATAAATAAAAAGATATAACAGCCCGACTTTGAGCAAGTGGAGAGGCAGTCCTGATGAGAATCTGGTCTCCCGCTCTCCACCTTTGCTTTTCATCAATAGCAAATGGTGGTGGTGGTGTGTCGTGGAGTCGGTTCCGACTCATAGCAGCCCTTTACAGGGTTTCCGAGGCTGTAAATCTTTACGGGAGCAAAACACCTCATCTTTCTCCCGCGGAACTGCTGACCTTGAGATTAGCAGCCCGATTCATAACCACTACGCTACCAGAGCTCCTTACAATAGCAAATAAAGCTCTGTTTTTATGCTAACGCTGTTATTTGGAATTCTTTTTAGTGTGAACAGCAAGAAGCTTAATAATAAGGGTCCAGTAACAATTTCTCAGCCCTTCACCCTCACTTCGCTCCTGATGGGTCATTCTCCTCTTTCCTGGATGTCTGTCCCACGTCTCACACCCAGTGTGGCAGAAATGAATTTATCTCCTTCCAAAGCTGGCCTTCCTCCTGCGTTCTTACTTCTTTAAATAATTCCATCATCAACTCATCTTTTGCGAGGCATCTCCGACTCCTCCTCTCCTTCATGCTTCACATTAGACCAGCGTCGGCTATCGGTCAGTTGTATTTTCTAAAAAACTGCTCAATGAATCTGCGCGCAAGCATGCTAGGGGCGGGACCGCGACTCTTCAATTTGCGATCATAGAGACCTGGGGGCTGAAGCTAGAGTGGCCATATGCGTGGCGAGGCTCGCTAGGCTCTGCCGGAAATATCTCTAGCGCCAGGCCGGAAAGAGTTTACTTAGGGAAGGGCAAGGGCTTGTTGCTGGGTGTAGAACTTGCGGCTGCTTAGGTTGTTTGGTGAGTTGGTGTGAAGGGAGATCGGAAGGGTCAGCTCCTGGCGATCGGGTCGTGAGTGTTGGGGACCGTCAGGGTAGGATTCAGGGCAGGAAATTGTGAAGGGTCCTAGTAGGTGGTACCCGAAGTCTGAGGTGCAGCTATTTGGGTACCAGGGGCCTAGAGGGGCGGGGTCGCGGCAAGGCCTGAGGGGCCAAGACCCGGGAACTCGGAGGTCGGGAGAAGATCGGCAGTCCCTGAAATTCCGGCCCCTCAGCTCCCAGGTCTCATGGCGGTCCGAGCGTCTTTCGAGAACAACTGTGAGATCGGCTGCTTTGCTAAGCTCACCAACACCTACTGCCTGGTGGCCATCGGGGGATCGGAGAACTTCTACAGGTGCGGCGGGAGCCCCTGGGCCCGCGGGCACTGTGTGGGTGGGTGGCGAGGAGGGGGATGCTGGGAGTTGGGGATTCCCTAGAGGGAGGCCACCAGTTCCTGAGGCTTCGTGACCGCCGAGTCCATGTCCCCACAGTGTGTTCGAGGGTGAGCTCGCCGATACCATCCCCGTGGTACACGCGTCCATCGCCGGCTGTCGGATCATCGGGCGCATGTGTGTGGGTAAGGCAGGTGGAGGAAATCCAAAGGAGTGGCGCTTCCCAGCACCTTTAATTACGAGGACGGGGAGTGAGCCAGGGATTTCCCGGCTTCCATTTACCGCAAGGAATTATAGAAAGGACCGTTTTGGTATCAGCCGATTTCAGGGACAATCTTTGTCAAAGGCTTTTATAGAAGAAAATAGCAAGCGCTTTCCCCCCTTACACTCCTAATCTCATTCTTCACAAAGATCCTGGGAGGCAGGAGGAATTATTTGCTTAATATGACTAATGAGCAAGACTAAGTAACTTCTCTCTCCTTTGAGTCTGAGTCAGTTGCTTGTTCTTTCTGTGCATCCGTTTATGCATTCCCTTTATGACATTGCCGAGTAACCTCCAACCCTGCGGTCCTACCCCTCAGCATTGCTGGCTCTGACCATTGGCTCTTTCTCTGAATTGAATCCTTGTCTCCTTTTACTGTCACCTCTTGTTCCTAATTCCATCCACTGGGGCCATATAAAAGTATGTTCCTTTTCTTTTTCTAACCTTAAGCTTGGTAAACCTTGGCCTGTTGAGTAGTTTCTTATTCAGGTGAAATACCCTGATCCTTAATGATAACATTAGGTCTTGAAGTCGTTTTGATGTACTATGGTGCTGCAGGATAAGCACTATTGGTAATTGCAACCCACCACTCACTCTGAGAAAGATGAGGCTTTCTGCTCACGTAAAGACTTGTTATTCGTAGGTGTTATCCAGTTGCTACCGACTCATAGCAACTCTGCGTAACAGAACGGAACACTGCCCTGTCCTGGGCCAACCTCACAATTGTTGCTATGTCTGAGCCCATTTATGCTGCCATATTGCCAATTCATCTCACTGGGCATTTTCCTCTTTTTCTCTGACCCTCCACTTTATAAACATGTAAAGACATCCAGCCCTGGAAACCCTATGCGGTGTCACCAGGAGTTAAAATCAACTCAATGACAGTGAGTGACTGAAAGATGCCACATATGAGAGCTGTTGGTATTTTTTATGATGGGAGTAAGTCAGGGTTAGAAGTTCAGGGTTGTGGCCTTTTGAGGATGGGTAGAGATCTAATCATGTCACAATATAATTGCAGTTTGTTCCTTGTTGCTGTATAGTACATTTTGTGCATATATGCCACAGTGTGTTTGTCTAGTTTGTTGACAATGGGCATTTGAGTAATTTTCAGTTTTGAGTATTATATATACTACTGCTATCTCTTATATGTTGTGTGTTGTACCCCACACTACCCTGGCTTCATTTTACTCAGCTGAAAAATATTCTTGATCTAAAACTATTTCATGTCTAATGCTATACATAGGAAATGTGTTTTGCATTATTTAGTGTAAAATCCACATACAAACCAAAGTTGTTAAATGGTACTTGCCATTTAGTTGTAACGTTTTTCTAAGAAGCTTTACACAGAACTTCCTTAGAGGAATGTCAGTGATGAATAGTTGATCAGTCCTTTGAAACATTTTCAGGGGAGATCTACAGAGTGTACTATATGTGAATTTATTTTCTTCCCACTGATGAAGTACTTCCTGACTAAGGAAAAGTGCCAGCAGGGACATTGTTCTCTTTTCAGTTACTACCCTTTGTCAAGGGTCCTGACATAGGTAGGACCCAGAAGGTCTTGCTGCGCTTGAAGATGGAGCACGTTGGCCTTGCTTAGTCCTCAGGCCTTCTCTGTATTTGTGAGCTGAATATATTTTAGGAAGATAAGCGACAGAACCAGATTTTATGCTGTGTTCTCTGATAGTAACCTTGACCTTTTGTGATCTACTGCCACCAGGTGTTTAGGAGGTCTTAGCAGATTTTCTTTGTGGAACTTAATGAGGGTGTCTTAGGCTGGACTCTCTAGAAAAGCAAAATCAGTGAAATGTGTGCATATACAAGGTGGCTTCACAAAGTTTGTGGATAAATTGAATTAAGATTATAAAAAATTTCCACGAACCTTTTGAAGCCCCCTGGTGTGTGTGTAAGAGAGTGAGAGCTTGAGAGAAGTGGGAGGTATCACAGGGAAATGGCTCCCACTGTTGTAGAGACTGGCAAGTCCCAAGTCCGTGGATGGCTGAAGGATTTTCCTGATTTGTGTGTCTGTAGGGGCTGAAGAGTCCAAGATTAGCAGGTTAGATGGTAGGTTGTTGGCTCTGGAAGCTGACAGATGCCAAAAACTGGAGATCAGATAATGAGTGAGCTTAGCTAGGACATCCATACACACACACACGCACACACACACACACACACACAGGATGTAGACCACACCTCTGAGGAAAGGCTGATTACATCAAATCGCATCGTGAAAGATGATTACACCATTATATACCTGCCAAACTATACTGTTATGTGACTTCCAAAACACAGGAAATTATGGCCCAGCCAGGTTGGCACACAATCTTAACCACCACAGTATGCTCATAGTATGCTATTATGGGTTATTTTTTGTTTAAAGCTTTTATTGTGAATTGAATGATAGTTTATATGGGAGAACATTGGTTTTGCTCGCTTTGTATTGTATTTTGTTTCATTGCAATGATTATAATCCCTTCCATGCATCATCATTCAATAGTATTTGCTTGTATTCCCTTTGTTTTGTTTTGATGTACACAAAAACACTCAGGAATATATAATTATTTAAACAACCAAAGGGCATATTCTACAAGCCTGTCTCATGGCTGCCAGCACATAGCCTTTCTCTTTCCATGAGTCTAGAGTCCTCAGCTGCTCTCTCTCCATGTCCTCATCTCTGTCTCCATCTCTGGTGTCACTGCTTCTCTGGATAATGTCCCACATTCCACTCATGCGCTTCTTCCTTGATGGTCCTAAGGTTCTCTGTTCCTGGAATATAAGATTAACTACTCCCCCCTTTTTGTTACAAAACTTCTACCTTTACAGTTGTGACAATTACAATTATTCATGATAACGGTTACTCATTATTGAATCATAAGAATCTTATCCCCATCTCCTTTCACCAGACCCATCTAGATAAGATAAAAACTATTCAGTGGGGATTCTATCTTCTCCTGCGCTCTGAAACTAAACTCCCTCTTCAAAACTTGTAAGTTAGTCACTTTGTGCCTTTACTGCCTCCCCACCTCCCGGCCCCATTTTAGGTAGCCAATATCTAAGATGCCTGTCCCTATCAACCCTGTGTACAGAAGGGATAGGAATGATCCTTGATGTGAAGACTCCTTTCCTCTCAGTATTTTGAGGTACTACATCCATAAGTATAGGTCAAGTTCATCAAATTGTAGCAATTTATACTTGTTTCCTTTATCAAATGTCTTTATCTTTCTCTAGTCAAGTTCTGATCATCAAGCCATTGAAGCTAGATCATCAAATGGGTACTATCTGCAAATTCGGGCTACTCTTTTTTTTTTAGTGAACATGTGTACTTAATCCTGTTGCATATGTACCTAGGTGTAGAAAGGTGAGGTCACCAGGTATGCAAATATGTTCACCCATTATAGATAATTCCAGAGGATTATCTGAAGTGGTTGACTAGCTTATACTTGTATCAAATTGCGTAAGAGCTTCAGTTGTCAACACTTGGTAGTGAAATTAGAATTTCTTTTTTAGCCATTCTGATAGGTGTGTGTAGTATTATATTAGTTCAAGTTTTAAATGTAAAATTGTGCCAAGAACCTTTCTTGCTAGTCTTGCTCTCCTCTGGATAATAGTGGCAAATGAAGTGGGTAAGGTGGGTTGGGGCAGGCTCCTGGGCCATCACTGGCCTGCACCTGCTTGATGAGCCTCCTCGCCCCCTGGGGTGTTGTATGGGTCAGTGGGTTAGAGGGCCTAAAGCTTTCCTGCAGAAACTGATTGGGCACAGCTGGTATCTTGTGTATTCATGGTTGCTTCTTGCCCTCTAGGGAACAGACATGGTCTCCTGGTGCCCAACAATACTACCGACCAGGAACTGCAACACATTCGCAACTCCCTCCCAGATTCAGTGCAGATCCGTCGTGTGGAGGAACGACTCTCAGCCCTGGGCAATGTCACCACCTGCAATGACTATGTGGCCTTGGTCCACCCAGACCTGGACAGGGTGAGGCAGCCTAACTTGTCCTTGAGTCATAGGATCATCCCTCGTCAGTGATTGGCCACTGTTCTTGCCAGTCAAGCAGAAATTATGGACATCTCTTGCAGGTTCTCTCATGCCAGCGTTTGTTAAGTGAGAACAGTACAGAGGTCTACCTTCCCTGGTGTGGTCAGTGTCAGAAAGAAGCTGTAGGGGGATTCATTCTTCAGAATAGGGGACCTAAAGAAGAGGGTGATTGTGGAGACCAGTCTCCTGGCTGTTTAGGATATGCATAGCTATGAGGCAGCTTCAGAAAGCTCATGGAAAAATGGAATTAAAAAAAAAAAAAAGGTATTTTTCCATGAGCTTTTTGAATCTCCCTCGTATTTGGGGCTCCAGAGCAGGCCTAGACTCTGCTTTAAGATATACTTTCTCCTTTCTCTGGGTGAGGCTTTTATATGTAGCTGCATAGCAAAGGAGAGGCTCAGGGATTCAAGCCAGGGTTGGTTCTGGCCATGGAAAGGCTCTGCTTCTCTGCTCTGCAAGGGCACAGTACCTCTTGTCATCCAATAGGAGACAGAAGAAATCCTTGCTGATGTGCTCAAGGTGGAAGTCTTCAGACAGACTGTGGCAGACCAGGTGCTAGTAGGAAGTTACTCTGTCTTCAGCAATCAGGGAGGGCTGGTGCATCCCAAGACTTCAATTGAAGATCAGGATGAGCTGTCCTCTCTCCTTCAGGTGCCCCTTGTGGTAAGCATTCCAGCTCTAACCCCCTTTCTTATGCTGCGGCAGACCAGTCTGTCCAGTGTTTGGGTATCTGGCTTCAGTTTGGTGTTGTGCTGCACATCAGGGAGCAGGGTATGGGGAGAGTCCTCATCAGGGAGGAGAGAGACTTTGGTCATGTGGCTGTGACCCACACTGAGACTGTCCTTTGTCAGGCGGGCACTGTGAACCGAGGCAGCGAGGTGATCGCTGCAGGGATGGTGGTGAACGACTGGTGTGCCTTCTGTGGCCTGGACACTACCAGCACGGAGCTGTCTGTGGTGGAGAGTGTCTTCAAACTGAATGAAGCCCAGCCCAGCACCATTGCCACCAGCATGCGGGATTCCCTCATTGACAGGTACCTGTGGCCTCGCCTCTCTTCTGCCTAGGGGTGGAGGGTCTCACTTCTTTGGAGGGTGGGGAGGAGGGTGGCGCCTAGCCTGGCCCTATGTATTTGCAGTGGTAGTTTCTCCTTGTGTGTGAGTGCTTGTCCACACACTGCTATGCAGCCCCAGGTGGCCTACCTATCTGCTCATTCATGCTCATCTTCAAAGTCTCAGTTTGGTGTCCCTTCTTTAAGCAAGCCAAAGAGCTCCCTGCCTATGAACTGTCTTATCTTATCACTGGCCACGTTGTTTTTTGTAGTTTGTGTTTGCTAGTGTGATGGTTTTCTGGGGCAGTAAAGAGCTGTTTGTTGAGGGAAGGTGGGGAGGTTACAGTTAGGAACTGAGGGGGCCCCAGATGCCTGGGAGAGATTGGCTGTGGGTAAGTATCTCATCAAATTCACAATCATCTGGGCTTTTGTGGGTTTCAGAAAAATAAACCATGTTCCTTGTCCCCAACCCAGAGATTCTGGAGTGGGGGGCTTGAGAAGCTTTTCTTTGGAAGAGCAGGACATCCTGTGCTCTGCTGCCCCTTCTTCATCTCACTGAGGAACCTCTCTCCAAAAATGCCATAACCAACGAGGCAGCAGAGTCTTTGATAGGATGTGAAACCCCCAAAACTCATAGCCATTGAGTTGAATCCTACTCATAGCAACCCCATATAGGGTTTCCAAAACAAAATATTTGCAGCAGACACCGTCATCTTTCTCCTTTGAACTGGTGGGTTTGAACTGCTGACCTTATGGTTGGTGTTCCGGTGTTTCTCCTACAGCACCACCAGGGCTTTTTTATACAGCTAGAAATCCCAAAGTCGAGTAACTGCCAAGTAACAGGCCCCCTACTCACTCTGAGCAAAATTTCCCTTTACTCATTCATTTGCCTGATGTTATTGAACCCTATGAACAAGGCCCCATGTAGAGGTTTTCTAGGCAGCTTAGTCTAGAGTTGCCTCAAGGGGCACAGGACATAGGAGGGGTACAAAGACAATGGTCGAACATAACTCTACCTTGAAAGGATTCAAAGTGCTTCAAGTGTCCTTAGATGGTATCAGAAGCTCTCATAGGAAACTTTCTGGGATCCAGAAAGGTTTCATGCAGGACAGATCATTTAGTCTAGGCATTAAGGAGTGAGTCGGCATTTGAATATGTGGAAATGCAAGGTGGGAAGCACCCTGAGAAAAACGGAGCTGGGGAGTGTGAAGGGGAAAAGTATTCCGGAGTGTTGAAGACTTTATCTTTTTAAGAAGTTTGAGTATAGGCCAGTGGTTTTCCTTGTATTGCTTGGGATGCTTGCTAAAATAAATTCTCACATCACTCCTGAAATTCTCATTCCTGAGGTCTGGGGTGGAGCCCTGCCATGCGTTTTTTCTCTTTCATACTCTTTTCTGGGTGCTTCTGTTGGTGGCAGTTTGGGTACCACATTATCAGACTCTTCTGTGGGTGCTGGAGAGTCATGGAAGGTTTGGAACAAGAAGGTGGTACAAGGGGTTTTGTCATTTGTTCAGCACTCTGTTAAGTCCCTACTATATGCCAGACAGTAGTGGTGTGGTCACAAATAAAATAGATACCCACCCTGCCCTTTGTAATGTTCACTTTTGGAAGGAAGACAGTGCTATGCTGTTAGTTACTTACACTGTTGGTCATTTAATTAAAAAAACAAAAGAACCCTTGTGGCAGCCTGAAAAAGACATTTCTGCTGTTCCTCAGAAACCCTATTTAGGGTCTCTGTGAGATGGAACTGACTCGACAACACTTAACAACAACTAGAAAACTACAGTAAATGTTAGATTTAACAGTGAAACACTAGAACAGTGCCATTCCAAAGGGGTAGAATTACCTATGGCACCGTCATTGCATTGTTTTGGTGGTCCTGATCTGTGCTGTTAAGACAAAGTATAAAGAAAAGGATATTGGAAAGGAAGAGACAAAATTCATTAAATTCCTTTGGGCTTGAACATGTTGAGTTTCAGGTGTCCATGACACCTTGCAGTAGAGATGTCAGGTCATTGTTGTTAAGTGCTGCTGAGTTGGTTATGATCCTAGCTACCTTGTATAGAGTGTCTATGGCTATAAATCTTTGTGGGAGCAGAAGGCCTTAGCTTTCTCCCACGGAGTAGCCAGTGGTCTCGAACCGCCAGTACTTATCCTACAGAGCCAATGATGATTAAAAATATGTGCCTCAATCTTGTGATTATCACCTCAAGTAAGAATGATTGTAATGATTACTGCTGAGCTGGTCTCTCTTCCTGCCTGGTACTGTGGCCTTTCCTGGTTAGTTGGCAGAGTTCTGGCCTCACCCTGCTAGTGGAAGACTTGTGGTCCAGGCACTTGCCCCATCCTGAGACTTCTGTAACCTTCTCTAATGTCTAATAGTCTTGTCCTCTGAGTTCTGGTGTATGACCAGTACCCGTTTGAATAAATTAATGAGTAAGTTGCCTCACCTGAGTGGGGAGAGTTTCTCTTAGTCTTGAAGTAGTGAGAGTTCTAGAACGGAAGGGTGACTCATGGGATGCATTCAAACCTGGAGCCTGGATGGGGCTAGGCAGGGCTCTTAAGCCTGAGCTGGAACAAAGGTTCAGGGGCAAGGGTGGAGACAAGCACCTTGAGAATGGAGGGTAGGGTAGGGTGTGTTCTGGGAAGCAACTATTGACATGCTCTTCCTCTTTCTTCAGCCTCACATGAGTCACCTGCTGTGCTGCTCCCTGGGCTCCTTGCTCCATGCCCCACCCAGTCTATCCCAGCTGCTGGCAGGGAGGCAACAGAGAGCTCACTGGGACTGTGTGGCTGGATGTCCAGCTCTTCTTCACCTGTGCCCATCTCCTGAACATACAGTTACTGTAAAAACTGCCATCTGGTGGCGGCTGTCAGGCCCTGTGACTGATTGATGACCCTGCTCTCTTGTTTTACTCTATTAAAGGACAGTTATCTCTGGCCATTTTGAATGTGTTGCTCGCCTGTGTTAGACTGGGAACCCAGATCACCACCCCAATCCCCACCATTCCAGAGCCCTGAAGAGATGGGCTAGGGCCCATCAGTTCCACTTCTTGCTCCCTCCTTATACCTCCCCATGCCCCCCACCCCTCACCTCCTGCCCAGTTAAGATGGGGGGCATGCCCCCTAGGGCAAGGGGAAGAAGCGCTTTCCACTGAGTTCTCACTCTCACCCAGCTTCAGCTTCTCAACCTCTGGAGAATCTGTTCCAAATATCCACTAAGTGGGACCCTGTAAGACTTTGGGCACCTGGCTACAGGGCAGTTTTTCCTTTGGCTTCAGATGCATGGAGGCCCTGAACACTGCAGATCAAATTCACAGGCCTTTGGAGCTGGGGTGGGGGTGGTGGGGTGGTGGTGAAGCGCCATCCGACTGATTGTTGTTATGTGCTGTGGAGTCGGTTCCGACTCATAGCGACCCTGTACAGGGTTTCCGAGGCGTTAAATCTTTACGGGAGCAGAATGCCTCGTCTTTCTCCCGCCATCTGACTGATAGCGGCCCTATATAGGATTTTCGAGATGAGATCTTGTAGAAAATCTCATCTTCCTCCTGCAGTCGCCGGTGTATACCCAACTGCCAACATGGCCTCTGTCTAGTGTTCTATAGAGACCACTATTGTTTTTGTTAATTGCCTTGGGAGTGGGTTCCGACCCATACAACCCTGTATAGGGTTTCTGGGGAGCCAGCTGGTGGGTTTGAACTGTTGACCTTGTGGTTCAGTCCAGTGCTGATCCTACAGCGTCCTACCAGGAGCCCCACTATGTACAAAAAAATCCACCGCCATCCAGTAGTTTCCAACTTGTAGTGATCCTATTATATAGGGTTTGTGAGCCTGTAAAAACAAACAGCGGATCTTTCTCTTGCAGAATGGCTGGTGGCTCAAACTGCGGTTAGCAACCCGAAACCTTACCCACAAACCCCTTTTAAGCCCCAGTAGGTTTTGGTGGGAGGAGGCAGTCATTTGTCTGGGGACCTTGGGAAGTCAGGGCCGGATTGGCCGCTTGCTGGTGTGCGCAGCCACGTGAGGTGGTGCCCCTCCCACCCCGGAAGAGCACGTTTCTGCTCAGAGGGTGAAGCGTGATGACGCTATGATGCTGACTTGTTCCGGTTGTTTCCCGGCCGGCGAACATCAACCTCTGGTTAAAAAGAGAGCCGAGTCTCTGGTTGTGAGAGGTGACGGAGCAGCGTGAGAACCTGAAGTGAGGTTGTTGCAGACTCGGGGCGCCCAGCTAAGCGGCGGCCAGGGCAGCCCCGGAAGACTCTGAGCGGCCCGGGCCCCAGCCCGAGCCGTGGGGGCCGTTGGACAACGTGCGCTTTCTCATCGTCTGCACCCCCTGGTACTGAGGTGGTTGTCCACCAGAGTCACCGACCGCAGTCATCGCTCCTGTTCTTGTCTGCCTTGGCATGTCCCGCATCTTGTCTCTCCTCAACCCCTGTACCTTCCTTGACTCACCTTACCTGTGGTCCCCTTGGCGCCTTGAGAGACTAGCTAAGAATTCGAAGAGGCCGTGAGGACTGGAAGAAGTTGGATAGGGCGGTGTTCCCAGCACACATGGGACTTTCTGGCCATCTCCACGCTCACCTCGGCATTCTGGGACCTGGGGCAGCCCAATATATTCAGGTCGCAACTGCTGTTTGCCCTGAGTATAGAGTCCCTTACTTCCTGCCACTGGCTTACAGAACCAGCCAGGGCTCCTGGTAAGATCCTCAGACTGCAGACCTGCTGACGTCATCCTTTAATGCTGAGAACTGGGCTCTTGTCTGTTAGGTCCTGTCAGGCCATGGCACCGTGTGCTTTAACCTTAGAGAAGTTCTTGTTTACAGTGACCCTTCCCAAACCCCTGCTCAGGAGGGGACCCCACTCACATTAGACCTCTAGGAGGGAAGTCTGTGATAGCTAGTCTGGTAGACCAGATGTCTAGGGCAGCTCCTAGACACTCTCCCAAATCTCTCATTAGCCATCAGCCTCCATCAAACCCATGCCCCCATGCCCCAGGAAAATAGCACACACTGTATT